AGTTATTTGGCTTGGAAACATTTTTCTCTGATATAGAAACTGACACCGCCGTTAGTATAGAATTAACAATAAATACAATCTATTGAAATGGAAAATGAGGAACTAAAGTGACACAACAAGACAGTAATCAGTGAATACAGAAAGTGAGTCAATTCAACTTAGTATCAATGACAAAATATACACACAAGTTTGTGTGACCGGCAAAATAAACAGATCATAATCACATCAAGGTCAAAGCAAATCAAAGTATTGGGCAATCAGTAATATTATTGATTGATTAGTTTATCGATTACACTTAGAGATTTAACATATCAGTTTATGATAAAGACTTCTATTTAACAACAGAATTTATTTTCATACATAGTAGTCAAATAAGTAATCAATTTTATATTTGTTCCATAAGGTATTAGTGATCGAAATAAGAAATAGAAGTATGAATTCATTTTTGTATTGGTTGTTTGAATCTTCTCATAGTTGTTTAAGACTGTAATTGATAACGCTATGTCGTTTGAAGTGAACGTTATTGCGTTTCAATCACAGAGTGAACATCAACTCTGGGATGTAAGTATATCTAGCTGATGAGTCTTAAATAAGACGCAGTGTATGTCCAAGATTCCAACGCCAACCATCATCTATCTAGGTTTATAAAAGGTAGGAGAGTTTGAAGAGAGATGTCATTTAATTTGTGAGTAGTACTACTTACCCATAAAATTCATTTCAATTTTAGAGTGAATAGCAATAGGATATAGATATTATTACTCGGTGATTATCTGACTTAAAATTGCTAGTGCCCAAAATGAACTTGAAACAATATCAATGAAGGTTTATATGATACAAGAAGAAAGAAAAGATAAAAACTGATTGTGGATAGAGAAGTTTATTCTCTGCTTAAGACCATGAAGAAGGTCTTCAACAAAATACAGTGTTTTATACATGAACTTAATTGCCAACTGGCGTCATTTATGACGTAGGCGAGAAATCCGTCTACTAACCAAAGGACATGTTTACTGCGCAGCAGTTCGTTCCTTCCTACTTTATGGTAGTGAAACATGGCCGGTAAGAGTAGAGGATATTTGTAGGTTACTAGTATTTGATCACAGGTGTCTTCGAAATATTGCTCGTATATCCTGGGTCCATCGAGTAAGTAATGCAGTTGTTAGGAAATAGGTACTAGGTAAGGATGGCAAATCAATTGATGAAGTAGTGAAACTTCATCAGTTGAGATGGTTGGGACATGTGTTACGTATGCCCAACCACCGACTACCTCGACGTGCGATGTTCAGTGGTATAGGAGTAGATTGGAAGAAAGCTAGGGGCGGCCAGACCAAAACATGGCACAAATCCATGAAGTCACTGACAAGTGGTCTGAGTCATGTCGGTAGGTGTAGACTACCTGGTTGGGGATCGCGAGATGATAGCAACTGATGGTTAGAGACGTTGAATGACATGGCAGAAAATGGTTTGCAATGGCGCAGGTGCATCCACTCTTTGTGTTCTCCCAAATTCTGATCTCCTGATTCCTCCTTGTCTCTTTTTTTTCTCTTCTCAAATTTATTTCACTGTATTATACTCTTTAAGTAACATCTCTAAACACTAATCTTCCCGATTACTGCTTATACTTTTACTACCTGTACCACTACGGGATTTGAATCGACCACTGCATCTCTGTGCTAATGTGGTGTGGCAACTCGAACTGATGTACATACATACGTACGAATCCTACGTTGTTACTAACTGACTGACATGAAATTAATTGTTATCCGACGAGTATTCAATAATAAAACACAGCAGAGGTAGATAGAAAACAATGTGAATTTCGCACTGTATCAATACAAATGAATACTACACATATATATATATATATATCACTATATGTTATACTGAATAAGCAGTACACTAAATCAATGCATAATGTCAGTTTTGATTCCTTTTGTTTAGTAAATTATGAATGTGAAATATATATATTTATTAATCTATTATACCTCTAACGCAAGGATTGGAAAAGCAGAGGCCTCATTCCTACAATTGAAGAACATATGGGACTAAAAACAACTTTCAACCAATATCAAAGTCAGAATCTTCAATACGAACATCAACGAAGTTAGTTCTGCTGTATGGAGCTGAAACTTGAAGAACTACAACAACGACCATCAAGAAGGTACAAATATTTATAAATATTTGTCTACGCAAGATACTCAACATCCATTGGCCAGATATCATCCGCAACAGCCTTCTGTAGGAGAGAACAGACCAGCCCCCAGATGAAGGCGAAATTAGGAAAAGACGTTGAAAGTGGATAGGACATTCATTACGGAATTCGTCATACTGCATTACGAATCAATCCCTGACGAGAAGCGGAAAAGAGGAAGGTCAAAAAACGCATTACGTCGGGATATAGAATCAGATATGAAAAGTATGAATAACAACTGGAAAGGATTGTCCATGGCAGGGTTGGATGGAGAGTGCTGGTGGGTGACCTATGCTCCTCCATGGGGGGTAATAGAAGTAAGGAAGTTAGTAACTTCAAAATCAATTCTTTGATCACTTTTTCACTAAACATCATTTCAAATCTTCTTAACATTTTTTTTTCAATGTTTATAATCAACTTTTTGGACCTACCGACAAATTTCATGGACTTTAATACACTATATTTAACATAATAAAGTACAGTACAAGAATATGTAATATAATGTCATTACATGCATTTATTAATTAGTACAAGGGTTGTTTATTATGAAATCAATTTGATGAACTCTAAACGAGGCTAAAGTGTATACAAGACAGTATTGGATTATCAATCATTCATATTCATATAGAATAGAACTATATAGTATACAAATATAAATAAGTTATACTAATGGACTAGATATTAAACTACATTGTCATTCATTACAAAAGGTTTGTAATAACAAGCATTTTGTAGCATATTAAGGAAGTTTCTTCTTTTTTTAACTATGGTTTTTATGATATAACGGGATTAGTTACCTACTTACTTACTTGGTTACACCTGTTACTGCCAATGGATTATAAGCTACCGACCAACATTCTATAACTGAATCTGTCCTGGGGTTACCTTTCTAATTCTATCCAATTGTTGTTCAATCTTTTCATATCTATCTCAATTTCTCAGTGTAATATGATGATGTAACAGGATAGAACAACAAAATGATGTTGATAACTCATTGTTAATTCTGTACAAGATTACCTGAATAGTAATTCCCTATAATTTCCTTATGTGTGATAATTTTTAACTAATCGTCAATTGTGAGTAAAATCAATGATATGAATGTATTCATATAGCACTTCGATTGATTTCCATGGTTAAGTAAATCCATTTTTATCAGTTTTTTTTGTGTTCACTTCACAAGTTGTCGACTACGAGGCTTCAGCACTGAATATAAGTCAACTAAACATTTCATGGACATAACGATCTATGTGTCTATTTTATAAACGAAGTATAAAACATTGAAATTGTATTTGTGTAAGTTTACATGTAGTCAGTTAATGTTTGAAATCAGAAGGGTTGTTTTTGTGGAAACTATAGTTGAGATCATGACTCAATTGAAGCTAGATCACCATGGAAAACCTAGAAGCACTGGATGGCCGTTTTTCGTCCTATCGTGTGACTTCTCAGCAATGCACAATCATGATCCCACCTCGCGAGATTAGAACCCAGGATCTATCGATCTCGTGAGCGTACGCTTAACCTCTAGACCACTGAGCTGGCCGGCATCCAACGGTGTTAATGTCTAACTTCAACTCATCCATGAAATTAAACGACACATACACTAATGTCTTCAATGAGTTATTATTATTATCATATTATTTAAACACATAAACATTGGTACAATACGGCACCAAATAGATATACGCCACATAAACCAATCGATTTGTGTGAGGGCTGCAATACTGCCCGGGTGCCCAAACCGAAGCAGTGGTTTTCCTAGGGAACCACACCCAAAGCCTTCGACCTAAAGGTCTAATCCACAAGGCAATGGAGTGTAGTGCTGGTCATTAGTTTTAGCCCATAATATATCTTATTCTAGTTTTCGGACATTCCATTCTATTCATTCTGCTTGAGTCATATGTTGACCTTGTTATTTATTCGCTTATCAGTCTTCACTGTTTTTATGTGAGCGTATATGTGTGCATACATCATATCCCATAACTCATTGCATGTCTGTAGCTTATTTTTGTCTGCCTATAAATATTGCGTAACGCCTGGCTAGAAATGGAGTTAACTTCCCGGCCATCTTCCCTGCGTGTCATTTTGCTTTGCTCTGTTTCATTCGCTCCATATACAAAATATATGTATGCACAGATCAATTCTCGTTATTTGACTTATTTAATTCCATTATAGGCTAACGTGATTTAAATCGACGATTATATACGAAAATAGGCGATGGCGAACATCCGTACGATCTAAATAGGAGTTAGATCCACGGGCCACTAAAGGAGCAACGTCACGAGATGCATTCTCATGGTAGCAGGTGACCAAAAATAGGTTCATACACCATTTGTTCCTTCAGGATCCTGAGGCCTATGTGCACCATTGGTTTTAAATCAGGGTTTTCCACTTTCCCTTAGGTGGACTCTCTGTATCCACCGACGTGGTTAAACCGCTGGACGTTCGCTTTTCGTCTTCTCAGTTTCGTAAACAACAGTAATGCCGTGAGAAGGCAGTGCGTAGGACTTCCCCGGTAGTGGTTGTATACACGTAGCCATGTGAGAGCATTTTGAGAGGGAGAATTGACTCTCCCCACCTTCGGCCGTACCAAAGCATTTGAGGGCAGTGAGTTATTATCTCACAACATACCCAGTTAAACTCCACTGGTCAGTATTTAGTCTGAAAACTTTATCGACGAAGGAATTTGTTATATTAGCTTAGTGAAGTAATTAAGTCAAAAATGTGATATTCTTATCTTAAACGTTTATTATTAAAGAGATTTGATAACATTCTCTTCATTTCAGATTTACTTACGTCACCTACATTGACAAAAATGTACGAAAAGTGTTCAGTTATCAAGTATTACAATAATGTTCTATAACATAAAATTCTATTTTACAGTGAATTTATTAAATGCGAATCAAAATTACAATTCAAAGGAGCCTTCATATTGATGTGAGTATTATTATTCAATTGTGAGGTAATGTATTGCTTGATTATCTAAAAAATAGAATATTATAAGCAAAGATAGATGGTGGTTAGAAGTGGAATCCTGAACGCACATTTCTTCCTGTTTAGGACTCGTCAGTTGGATGCATCTGCATCTCAGAGTTGGTGTTTACTTAGGGACTCAACTCTGGGATGTAAGTACATTCAGCCGAAAAGTCCCAAATAGGAAGAAACGCACGTCTTAGATTCCACTACTAGCCACTATCCATCTTTGCTCATAAAGCTTGTTACTCAAAGCAATCCGTACAGGATGCATATATGCCAATAAGAGACTGATCGATTGCATTCCTAAACAGCGATGGGAAGATAAAAGCAAACAATACCAAGTGATTTATATAAAACACAAACCAACGCATTAGTTGATGAGCATAAATCCATTGTTCATGTGAAATATGTAATAGGCTATTGAAATTTAAACAATAAACAATAATAATATGTAGTTTTCCGGATTTCGTTCCATTTTTTATATGAGGTTCATGTTGAGTAATTTCATATTTATTTACTAATGGCTGTTACACATCGTGAAGAAACATAAACCGCCTATCAGCACTCTCTATTCAACTCTGACCCGGACGATCCTTCCAAGTTGATTTCCGTTCTTTTCATGCCTGCCCCATATTCAGACGTAATGTGTTCTTCCGTCGTACTCTTTTTTGTTTCCCTTCATAATCCCGAGTTAGGGCTTGCCTCGTGATGCAGTTTGGTGATTTCCGTAATGTATGTCCTATCCACCTCCATTATCATTTCCTAATATCTTCTACAACTGGAATTTGGTTTGTTCTTGCTCATGGAATCCGAGTAATTTCAAAACTTACCAAATGATATTTCGTTATATTTATAAGCAATTAGTAGACGAAAATCATTAGGGCTGACCTTTATTATGAAATGAATGAACTGTCGTATATGTATCATAGTATTCTTCAACAATTTTCATCTATAACCATACCATAAATTGAGTCGAAGATCATAAACTCTTATGGCTAACATTTAATATTTAGATTATTCAATGTGTTTTAACAAAGACTATCACACTCGGATAAAACAGTAATCTAATTCTCTTGAGTTTTATCGTTATAGAATCTGTTGAATAGGATCCAATTTCAAAGTATACAAACCTTGATTAAAACACTCAATAAACATTTTATCAGCAAAACAACAGTATATCGTTACATATTTAGATATTTAATGTGTAAAGTGACCGATCAATACCTAAATAAGTGAGCGGCTCGGATAGCTTAGTCGATGACACGGGATCGAATCTATCAGGGAGCATCAGTTCGTTCAAGATTACAGGTGCACCATGATAACGAGTGCCCATTAGCACGTAACCTAAGTCCAGGATCTCCTGTAAAAAGGCATCCAAATGTCCTGATACGGCTGAGAGTGGGGAGAGTCATATAACCACTGCCAGAGACGTCCTACTCATTGACTTCTCTCGGCGAAGGTGTTGTTTACGAAACTAAGAGGACGAAAAGCGAATGTCCAGTACTTTAATTGGGTTGGTGAATATGGAGGATCCACCTTAGGGAGTTGTAAAATCTTCATTCCAAACCAATGGTGCACATGGGCTTCAGGATCCTAAAGGAATGAATTGTGTATAAACCTATTGTTGGCCAACGGCAACCATGAAACTGCATCGCCTAATATTACTCCACTGCCTTGTGGATCAAACTCTTAGGTCAAAAACGCCGGATATGGCCCCCGTAAGTCAACCACCTGCTTCAATTTGAGAACCCGAGCAGTAAAACAACCCAAACACAAATCAAGTGACTTGTATGATGCATATCTATTCGGTGCCCCTTTGTCTCAATATTTATGTGTTTAAATAAATGAATGAATAGATCTTTTCGAAAAGTTGTTCATTATTGAAATCTTTTTCTAAAAAACCATATCAGGTTACTTTTGTAACTTGAACATTAATGGTGTAATGTATAGTATCCAATTCACGTTTGTTTTATATGTTTATTTCATATTCTAGAATTGTTGGTTTAATATTGGGTTTTGTTATATTCATGATTAGAAAATTACATCGTCCAACATTGATCAATACTATCATAGCTGGTATAACTGTTAAGTTTACAAACACAAGAGAATAATGATTCTTTATTCATTTTCTTCTTTCACTTTTATTGGTTGTTTAAATTGTCTCATTGATGATATTATGAATTGTAATTGATCATTTGGTAAGATTATAATTTGTAGACGAACCAAACAGATTTCTTGAGTGCTGTTAGAGGTATGAGGGCGATTATCACTTCCCGGTTGCCCACACCGTGAAAGGGTTCTTCTGGAGGTACCTGAAAAGGAAATCGAATTAGAAGTGGTCTTAGTGACCTGGGAGCGTGGCCGCAGTGCTCAAGGGAAAACTGCTTGAGGTCGGTCATACACGACCTTTTTATAGGCAATTTTTGTGTTAGCTCCGTACTTGTAGAGACCTTACCGCCGGAGACGGATATCCGTGGGATAAGGCGAAGTGTGCATTTTTAGGGTCAACCTTTTCTAACCCCATCCCTCCTTGTGGGAAGGCAGCATCGCTGTCATGCTGATTGTCTGAAGAAAACACCTTACTGCTGTCACACCTCTGTACAGTCAGCAGTACGACTTCGCCTTCGGACCTTGGGTTTTTTGCTTTTAATGTTACCGCTCTTCAATCGACCTTTCTGACGTGGTAGAACCTTGAGGAACGATTGTTCCAGTCAGTATAGCCCGTTTACTTAATCACGATAGGCAAGGCCGACCACCACATCAAGGTAGCAACAACGGTAGGGACCAAACAGATTTGAGATAACAGGTCTTGGATTTTGTCGCGAAATTCATTCATTCATTCGAATAAATAGAGTATTGGCATGATATCTGATGTCAGTTTGTGATGAAAACCATAAATCTATTTCCTAACCTTAATATTTAATTGTAAATCATAATTAGAATTCCTCGCACAGCTTTATAACCCTCATTTGGTCCTGGTTATCAGGTAGACACTCTCAAGGTCACTTTAGTGTCGCTCAAAAGTCGTCCTTAAATTATAGTCTCACCGATCATTCTCTTTTGGTATATATAGATCTTATGCGTTTAACCTCGATATCACCATTAGTTCATTTGGATTTTCAGCAAAAATGAAATAAAATTTATCTTACTGCATAAAGTAGCGGTTATTTAGATTTATTAGTTAAGTCGTAAAGGTGTAACGAAATGTATTGAGTTCGAGTCCCATTGAGAATATTAACACAAGTGTAGATTAATTCCAAATAGAATGAAACATGCATCCTAAATTTCATTTTTAGTTACCACCATCCAACTCTGATTAATACTAACCATCATTCACATGATCATTATTTGTATTTTCATAAAATGAATATCCTATTCAGTGTGATCGATTGAATTCGTAACAATCAATTAGTGTATACTTCTCATTAATCGAATTGTGTTGATTACAATCAATCGATTAATTGATTACTGTATATTGCAGTTTCTAATACGTTTTATCATACGATAAAATATGACTTAAGGTTATATCGAGGAAATCTGCACAGGATGCGCTTATGCTGACATGAGACTGATCAATTATAGTCCTAAATAACAATGGGAAGATATAAGTAAAAAACAAAACCATGTGAATTTACACTTCAACGCACTGCACAAGCACGTGACTATCATAACTCACTAGCTAAGTGGATAACGCGATGGAGTTTGAAGTGAACAGTACTGGGTTCGAGTTAAACTATTCATATTCGCTTAAAAAGCTTGTGATTTAAGGCTATATCAAGGCGATTTGCAAAGGATGCACATCATGAAACTGATCAACTGTAGTCCTACATAACAATAGGGAGATACAAGTAAAAAACAACACTAAGTGAATTTAAATATGACTTCCGTTTGTGATAGTGTTGGTTACTTCTAATTCTAATGAAGTATAGATTTTCTTCTTATTTTATATTATAACATGTATAGTTCACTGTGTTGGATGAATAGGAACTTCAGTTAACAAGAATATATATAGCATGGATATATATAGATAGTAGATATATATTTCATTAGTTGACATCATGAGTCAATTGAAGCTAGACCACTATGGAAAACCTGAAAGAACTAGATGGCATCATTTTAATTACTTAAGGTGCTTTCCTATTAATCAATTTCTTATATGATTCATTTTAGGCAAATCTATTATCGTTTGGTGTTACTTTATTTTGTGGCTTCTTTGAATTTAAATACGTTGTCATGGATGCCATTGTAGCATTTGTATTGGGTATCATTACTATCTTATTAAGTATGAAGATAACATCATTTCAAAGTAGATGGACGATGATCTTATTTATCATAATATGTGGATTACTAGTTATAGGAATCCTTTCTATTGTATTATCTTATTTCTATGTAAGTTAATGTTTATTGTATTTATTTCAAATGATATTTAAATTAATATCAGATGGGTTTTGTGGATATTATAGTAATTTCAATGATTAAGATCATGAGCCAGGTATATCGTGGAGTTCTAGTGAGAAGTAGTGACCAGTGGAGTTCAACCAGGTCTGTTGTGAGATTGTAACTCATTGAAGACAATGGTGAATGTGTCGCTCGATTTCGTGGATTAGTTGAAGTTAGGCATTAAAATCTTTGGATGCCGGCTAGCTCAGTAGTCTGGTGGTTAAGTGCGAAACCAGTAGTTCCTGGATTCGAATCTCGAGGGGCGCGGGGTCGTAAATGCGCACTGCTGAGGGGTCTCACAATAGGACGAAACGGCCGTCCATTACTTCCAGTTTTTCCATGGTAGTCTAGTTTCAATTGACTCATGATCTTAACCATTGTTATTTAAACTGTTTCTATAGTCAGTGATATGTGAGATGGGAATATCTAGTAGTATGAATGCTAATAGCATATTCACTATCCACACAATGATTATTAATCATCTGGAAACTCTGAGATGGATAGTTTGTTCGTGAAGCTTTCATCATTCTTTTGAATAACATCATCAATGTAAACTTCAGATAGTAGTGAAGTGTTCGACTTTTTCCACATATGGTTCACAGCTTGTCTTTTAGACCTCGATGCTGATTCTTTCCTGTTAACCTTGAACCTGTCATTATTTACTTCATTGTTTCGGTTATCGCCGATTGATCAATAAGTACCAATCAACATATAGGTGTACAGGACAAGTTGTGAATCACATGTGAAGAAATTCGTACACTTCATTTCTACCTGACATTTGTGCTGATGATTTCGTTCAAAAGAATGATGAAAGCTCCATAAACGAACCATCTATCTCAGAGAATAAAACTTTATGAAAATCATCCACCTGAGCTATAAATCTTCTCCACTATCTCAAAATCTTGGAAACGTTTTATTTCAGCTTCATTCTACAGTGATATCTGGTGACTTATTGTATTTTTGAAGACTATAGTAAAGTACGAACTTTTGACATTATTGACATAATTACTATTATTGTCTTACAAAACGTCGTTTAAACTCTAACGATCCTTGACAAACAGTTGACAAACAATAAATGCTGTGCTATCAGGACAGTCAAATCACTTAAGTTATTCGGACTATCAGTTATGTTTCTCAAACATAATAATGGGAACAAAACTTTTATATGGAAGAATTCCGATAGAAATACGATCAAAGTGTTCTCAATTCTGTTAGGATAATGATTATTTGACCACAATTCGGATACGTTTTTATCCATAGAAACTAATGCATCAATGACGTTCGTAAAATCCATCTCATTCTGATGTTTCATTGATTGAAATATAAATACCAACACTTACTTACGGCTGTTACTCCCAATGGAGTATAAACCATTGAGCAGCATTCTCCAACTCACTCTGTCCTGCACACTCCCTTTCTAGTTCTATTCAATTTTTGTTCATTCTCCTCATATCTGTCTCCATTTCTCGGCGTAATTTGTTCTTTGATTTTGCTCTTTTACTTTGGCCTTGAGGATTCCAATTGAGGGCTTACCATGTGATGTAGTTGGATGTTTTCCTAAATGTGTGTCCCATTTACTTCCAGTGCTTCTTCTTAATTTCTTCCTCCGCTAGAATCGGGTTTGTTCTCTTCCAAAATATGTTGTTGCTGATAGTGTCTGGCCAATGAATCCGCCTGGAGCCCCTTTAAGGTTATTGCCGGTCCCAAAGCAGGATAAAGGAGGAGGGTGGGCATCGAGCAAGCGACCCTGTACCATAGAAAACTAAAAGTGGCTAAAAAAGGCTAACCAGAAAAAATAAAATACCAACACAGAACCATACATTGCATTAGAATATTCACCTAGTAACTTTACAACCATCTTAAATTATTTCTGTACGACTAAAGTGAATTAAATGTTTGCACATTGTATGAAAGGTTCATGCTTAATCTCAAGGAACCTTTAAGAAGTTCAGAAAGAGCCAAGGAACATTCCAGAATCTCGATGTATAGCTTCCCTATTGGAAAAATGCTAAAACTTCACTGTATGCGGATTGGATGACTATAACGATGATTTCCTTTCTTTTATCTTATGTTTTCTCATTTTCAACTTGGACAATTCTAGCATTCGAGTGCTCATATTATACGTGGTATATTAAGAATCTAAGCATTAGATATATAACACATATCTTATGAGAATATTGTAGATCATTAAAGTATTGAAAGGTTCAGTAATTCCTTTAGTTTGTATACAACAATTAAGATGCTTTGTTTTTGTTGTTTCTCATTCATTCTATTATTTCAGTGTATTTTTGAAATTGTATACAATATATGTTGGATTTGTTTAATTCTATTTGTAAGTTTAATTAAGTAATATATTTCATCAATATTAAACTAAAAATACATCTTGATTCCTTGGAGGTAGTCAAGAGGAAACCCTTGGTCCAGGTTTCATGCTACTTGGTGTACCTTTAATCTTGAGGGAACTGATGCTCCTTGAAGGATTCAGTTCCTTGTCACACAGCTTCACAGTTAGAGACGTTACCACTGGGCTAACCGGGTCGTGGCAGACCTCCTGTAGAACTGAGATATAATTACAATTGATTGATCAATGGGTGGTTATCAATGTCATGTGTGTAATGTCTCTGACTGTGACGCTGAGTGACACGGGATTGAATCCATCAGGGAGCACCAATTCCCTCAAAATTAAAGGTACACCTTACTGACGAGTGCCAAAAAGCACGAAACCCGAGTCTAGGGTTTCTTGTTGACTACCTTCAACCACCATCTAATCTCAAAATAGTGCACGCAATGTCGAGTCATCTAGACTAGTGGCCACATTGGAACTTGGTCGGTAGCATTCGATCTGCACTAATAAGGACATGACACACATGACATTCGTCACCACCCAGTGATCAATCAATTGTGATATGTGCCTGGTCCTTTATTGTAGCTGACTGACTGACTGTCTCAAAGTTTAGTTGGAAGTGATATGAGAAACGAGAATAAGAACTAACATATTTTACATGGTAGTTAAGATTGATTAGTATTTATATGTTGAAGATGAACTCATAACAAGAGGAGAAGAGAGTGCAGTTGAAAAGGAAAATAAAATGACAGTGAATACAAATAAATCGTCAGTAGATAGGTGGTAATCACAACACCTAGTCGACAGGAATTTAAAGTTAACTTCATGAATGAACATCAGTAGACCTTTTCACCTTCTTACTATGTCAATATGAGGTTGATCACTATTTAGTTTCTGTATTCAAGGATCAGGTCGAAAGCATTTGGTAGTAAAAGGTTTTTCAAAGTGACATAAAAGTGATGTTCCTTGATTGTTAGTATTTAAAACGCCTATATGATTTCTACGTAGTGTCCACTATCCGTTAAGTGTTTAATGGCTGCACTACTTATTACTTGACATCTTTTCTAACACAACCTTTTGATAACCTTATAAATCACCATCTTTCAGTCTTTCCTTTGTACTCGCTTTCACAAACTATAAGTCGAATGTTAACAAAAGGATAATATGAAAATTCGAATAGTTTCTATGTTGTGATTGGAAAGTATACTGTTCTTAAGTGGTACCACTCAAAGAGAATACATATTTCATACGATCACAAATTAAATGAAATTTCTCGTCTACTTTTTCTTCCACCTTTCATTTTGATCAGTAATGCGTGATGGAACAAATGTTATCCTGATTATCTATTTAACTACTCAGTATGAAAATCAATGCTGTTGTTCAAAAGAAGTCTTTCTCACAGACTGGTGTGTTAGTTTCAGTGCCAGAATCTTCGTTGAAGTCGCCTTTCTAATTGAATTCAATAGTTTATCTAACTGTAACGTCTAGTTGATAAAGAATACATTATCTGATCAGTTATTTCTAAACAATCAAATGTTTCTCCAATATAAAATGCTTTTACATATCTCTATTCAATGATACTATTAAATGACCTGGTATGGCCGAGAGTGGAGAGAGTCAGCTCTCTCTTGAAATGCTCTCACATGGTCACGACTATACAGTCACTTCCAGAGAAATCCTACTGACTGAATTCTCGCTGTGCGGAGGTATTATTACGAAATTGAGAGGACGAAAAGCGAATGTCCGGCGCTTGATAGATGTGGAGTATCCATCTAATGGAGTTGGAAAACTTGGATTCTAAACAAATGGTGCACATGGGCTCCAGTATCCAGAAGTAACAAATGACGTATGAACTAATCGTTGGTCACCGGCTACCATTGAACTGCATCTCCATACGTTGCTCCATTGCCTTATGAATTAGACCTTCAGGTAAAAGGCTCCGGGTGTAGGCCCCTAAGAAGGAAGGCCCACGGCAGAGTGAGTTGGGGAATACTAGTCGGCGGCCTTGACTCCATTGGGAGTAACAGGCGTAAGTAAGTAAGTAATTCAAAAAGATGACTCTTCTACTTTGTAAAATGTAAGTCATTCTCTTAGTTTTACATTATTTTAATAAACTATTACATTCTTATTTTGTTATAGGCAATTGTTTTCACTCCATATTATTTTTATTTAAATAATGAATCGACAGAATATTCATCCTATTTAATTGGTTTTATAAATGTATTCGAAATTATCACATTATATTTGTTTGTATTAATCACATCATTGAATATTGGACAAACCACATTGAAATGTGATTATGGCGGCAATGAATGATCAATCTAAAGAAGATGATGGCGATGATGGTGGTGATGATGATAATGATTGAGATAAAATACAAAAGTTTGATTTAATTTCTATTGAACATTTACAATCATTGTAATATGATTATGTCATATTATTGGGATATATTTTTATTATGATCATGATGAGAAAACAAAAAAGTAACTGAAAAGATGTATTTGTGGTCTTGACAACAAAGTTGTATTTACTGAATGACAAATTTAATACAAAAATTATGTTCAGAAGGAGTTTTGTGGAGATTTTAGAAATTTCACTAGTTGAAATCATGAGTCAATCTCCACAAAACCCCTTCTGATAATAATCGTCTTCTCACTAGTGACTGACTTCAAGAAACACTCCTGGAGTTCTAGTGAGAAGCCGTTACTAGTGGAGTTCGACCAGATCTGTTGTGAGATATCAATTCATTGAAGACAATGATGTACGATGGCTCAACTTCGTGAATTGGTTAAAGTTAGACATTAACAGTGTCAGATGCCAGTCGGCTTAGTGGTCAAGTGGTTAGGCTATTGTGAGTGGGGCTGGTAGGCCCTGGGTTCGAGTCCCGCCGGGGAATCATGGGTGCGTGCTTCTGAGGAGTCCCGTACTGGGATGAGACGGCCGTCCTGTGTTTCTAGGCTTTCCATTGTAGTCTAGCTTCCATTGACTCATATTCTCAACTAGTGAAACACCAATTATGTCTAGCCGTTAGTAGTGTATCAACTTCAGATAGAGTCGTTTCAGGTTTACTGTCTATAGTAAGCTTTGGTAAAGAAGAGTTGTCAGGGTTGGGGTTGTCTAATCCATTTCGCAAAACTGGAACGTTGTTTAAATTTTGATAGCTAATGAATACCAGTCACAAATCAGCTGACAAACTTTTACACTTTCCATTCTTATTACTAATGAGTAAGCGATATGTTACCCATTCATTTGTTGTTTCACATTTCATAGAAACCTCGTAAATTAATGAATGGTGGGCCCACTAGATAAAAACTTTGAGCGATTCTATACACAACAATTGACACCTTGAAAACTAATACTAAACAGTCAGTCAGTTGGCTAGAACGTAGGACCAGGCACTTATATGCATCGGTCCAAGATGCCATACCGCATTAGCACAACAACACGAACACTAAATTCATAGAAATAGTCACTTCAATGGTGGTAATGTATGGAAGAAAGATTGTGTATCACGATATAGTACAGAAAGAATTCGTTCGTAGAAAGAAAGACATGAAGCGATTTCAATCTCATAGTTTAAAGGAAGACAGAGCGTGTATACATGGACGCCATTTTGATCGATTCTGAGCCATCTCACCCATAGTCTCCAACCATTGGTTATGATAGTCACGCGGACCCTTACCAAGTAGTCTGCATCTACCAACATAGCTAAGACTAGAAGCTAGTGACTTCAAGTATTGATGCCACGTTTTGGTTTGGCCACCCCTAACTTTCTTCCAACCATCCCGAACACTGGTTAGCATTGCACGTCGTGGTAATCGGTGTTCAGGCATACGTAACACGCGACCCAACCATCTCAGTCGATGAAGATTCACAACCTCAACAACTAATTTACCGTCATTCCCTAATACTGTGCGTCTAACTTCACTATTAGTTACCCGGTGATCCCAGCAGATACGAGCAATATGTCTAAAACATCTGTGATCAAATATTAGTAAGTTATGAGTATCTTCTACTTTTAATGCATAGGTTCAAGTTGCCATACTTCATTAGAACAACGAGATGAACGAAAAGCTATAGCTTTTTGAACTTCATTTAGAGTCGGGGGGGAGTCCTACTTCAATGTTGCATTCCGGCTGTTTGGTAGTTGTAGAGCAGCTGAAGGTCAAATGTGTATCATAAGTAGATAACGATTTGGTTTATCCAGTATTTTGTTCTCTGTGATATTCCGTTTATAACTATTATAATAAAAAGATCGTAGTAATTAGGAAGTCATTAAGTGTTATCTCGAATTGGAAGTGTAATCATAAGTTGAATTGAACAGAGAAAATATGACGATTAAGAAAATGTCACAGTTCTCTTAACCTGAAACAACCCAATCAAACACTGACTATCCTTATTGATAAGAACTAAAAGATAACTGAATGATTTGATGTGATAAAGTACGTCATTATCTGAAAGTTCACATTATTCATCAAACCTTCAAGCAATACATTAGAAGATCAATATGAAGATGTAGGTTATTCAATAGAAGGATCTTCTTTATCTGCTTTATCTGCTTTATCTATATACTAATGGGATCCAAACTACTAAAATATAAGCAAACTAGCCTATAAAGTATAATGATTATCAGTGCTTAAAGCCTTCTCTGGTAAAATTCTGTGTATAATAAACTGGTATTGTAGTGTGCGTCTCGTATGTGGACAAATATAAGTAGTATGTAGTACCAATTGGAAGTAGAATTGTGAAAAAAACTTCAGGTCACTTCGAAAAAGAATTAATGACTACAAGTGCATAGTATTTGCCAAGAAATGGACTACAGTAGTTTGCATGAATTCTCTGCCAGGCTTTAGACGATACTGGCCATGAAGTTTACTTCGAAGGCTGACTTTTTAACGTATGATATTTCCCATAATTGTTTACAGTACGAAATTTATATCTGCATTTATCTCCGACCATCAACATGTGAACCGTACCAAGGCCTTTATTTTCTCAACACTTCAATGTCCACTATGAAGATCTTCAAGGACAGTTTTACGTGATGAAGTAGAAATAACAACATGATCATTTAAATAAAAAATACCATCAGGAGTAGTGGATAATTCATCATACTTTAAAAAATAGACAAGAAATCCATGTTTCAGATTAGCGTTCCAGCCTTTCCGTATAGCACCAAAGTATCTACAAGTTTCTTTGATGAGATCTGGACGTCTCACTGGTAAAGCTTGCTCTAACAAACATTGTGTAGTATTAACAGGTCTATCTTGTAATGATTGTCGAGAATTATAATCAATATGTTGAATTTATTAAGCACTCCTGTGCTGAGCTGTATAGTCATAGGCACTTAAAGCAATACTCAATCGTTGAACCATAGCAGCTGAGGAACGTGATAAATGAACTTTAAAGCTTCACGATCACTAACGATAGTGAATAAATATTTATTAAGTCTTTTGACGGCCCAAAACACAGCTAATCCTTCTCACTGAGTTTGTGAATATCCTTGCTTAGCAACAGTAAGTTTGCGTGAAACACAGATAACTGGTCTACCTTCCCGCTCCAAAACTCCACCAATACCCACAGGTAATGCATCAGTATTAAGAACATAATGTACACTGGGAGAGTAAGTTCGAAGAACAGCATCATTTTGAAGAAACTGTAGCAGACTTCATAAACATGAATCTCTTTCCTCACCCCATTTAAATGAATCGGAGGTTCAAATATTAAATAAACTATTAACACGACAAGAAAAATTAGGAATAGAACGGGAATAATGCTGAAGGACATCCATTAGTAAGCGTGGTTCTGTAAGCATTTTTGGAGACAGTGCATTTGTCAATGAGTGTCGGATGGAGGTAGGTATCTACATCAGACAATGGATGGATGGCTGCGTAGCGATGCATGGATGGATGGAAGTTAGACATTAACACCGTTGGATATCGGTCAGTGGTCTACAGGTTAAGCGTCCCCAAGAGAAACCGGAAGTTCGAATGTCGCGTTCGAGATTTTAGATGCGCACTGCTGAGGAGTCCTATGCAAAAACAAAACAGCTGTCTAACTCTTGCAGATTTTTGATTATGGTGTAATTTTGATCGACTCATGATTTCAATCAAAAAAATATAAAATTGTCAAATTCCGATGCCACATATCTATTTAATAATTCATCATAAACGTAATTAACGTTGTTAGAAAGTGAATCGGCCTCGTGACTTCCGAAGAATTTCGGCTTCCACCATGATGCGCCATAATTCTTCCTTGAATTCCCAGACCTGAGTTTTAATGAGTTAATTTGTTTATTCTGGTTAGCGTTTTTCTTAGCAAGGTTGTCTTCTATGGGATGAGATTGCCGACTCCATGCACAACCCTTCTCCTTTACCTGGATTTAGGACTGGCAGTAAATCTAGAAGTGCTACAGGTGAAGTTATTTGTCATACTCTGTCTAAATGAATATTAAATATACTATAGAACTTATAGTGTTTATTCACGGTATATTGTAGGTATATTCAGTGATTACTATTATGAATACTTAAACATTGTTGTCTTTTGGGCTATAAATAGATAATTTCCTGATTAAAGCCAGTATTATTGGTGATTAATTTAATTCAGTTGGTGTTGTTTTACATAAATCTTCCCATTGATGTTTAGGACTGCAATTGATCGGTCTCTGATTGGCCTTAAGTCACAAGCTTTTTCAAGCAAAGATGGATAGTAGCTAGCAGTAGAATCCAAGACGCGCGTTTTGTCCTATTTGGGACTCGTCAGTTGGATGTACTTGCATGTACATGCTATCAGGACTCAGTAGCTAACTGGATAACATGATGGCATTTGAAGCGAACGGTACTGGGTTCAAATTCCAAAAGATAGTCATTGAATTATTTTTTAAAAGAAAATCAAACTCACTGATGTGAATAGAGAAACAAAAAAGTCATGACAAACAGCGGAAACTATTTATGGGAACGTTCTTTGACTTAAATTCACTTGATATTGTTTTACTTCTGTCTTCCCATTGATATTTAGGACTGAAATTGATCAGTCTTTGCTTAAAAAGCTTTTGACTTGAGGTTATATCAAGGCAATCTGCACAGGATGCACACATGTTAATAAGAGACTGATCAATTGCAATCCTAAATAACAATGGGAAGATACAAGTAAAACAACACCAAGTAAGTTTAAACTTCATCCCATTGCACAAGAAGGTGGCAATCAGGATTCAGTAGCCAAGTGGATGACTTGATGGAGTTTAAAGCGAAAGGTACTCGGTTGGAGTCCTGGATGCAGGTACATCCAGCTGACTAGTTCCAAATAACACGGAACACACGTCCTGAATTCCACTGCTAGCCACTATCCATCATTGGTGAAAAAGTTATTTGACTTAGTTTTGTCCCTATTTTATTCTATAAACCATAAACTTTTGTTTGAGATGTATGATTTACTGACATAATCATCTCTCTTCCAATGGTATTGTAATATAAACTTAATCTTTGATACTCTGTTTTACTACCCTAATGCTCAGTCTTCGACATAACTGTATTTTTCTAATTGTTTTTGTGTTGTGATCATATTAGTCATGGATTTATTCATGTATCTTTTTACATTATACAAAAACTGGGAATAAGTTGATTATAATGTATCCTGGAACAGTAGCCAATAAGTCAAATGAAAGCTTATGATAAAAGGAATATGAATATATATATAATCTAGTTACTTCATGAATCTCCAATAAGAATATATGTAATAATAGTCCATAAACAATTCATGGAAGTTTATTCTCGAATCACACTTGACGGAGAAGATTTGGGAGTGGTAAAATCCTTTACATATCTGGGCAGCTTCATTGACGAACACAGTGGATCTGATGCAGATGTGAAGACGCAGACTGGCAAAACAAGAGCAGCATATTTACAACTGAAGAACATCTAGCACTCAAAACAATTGGCAATCAACATCAAGGTCAAGATTTTCAAGACGAATGTCAAGTCAGTTCTACTGTATGGGGCGGAAACCTGGAGAACTACGAAAGCCATCATTCAGAAGATACAAGTGTTTATTAATAGCTGTCTACGCAAAATACTTCGGATCCGTTGACCAGACACGATAAACAACAACCTACTGTGGGAAAGAACAAACCAGATTCCAGCGGAGGAAGAAATCAGTAAGAAGTGGTGGAAGTGGATAGGACACATATTGAGGAAAGCACTCAACTACATCACAAGGCAATCACTCAATTCGAATACTCAAAGCCAAAGAAGAAGAAGAAAAAGAAGAACAAACAACACATTACGCAGCGAGATGGAGACAGACAAGAGGAGAATGAACAAATAGAACGAATAGAACTAAAAAAGGAATGTGAAGAACAGAATGGGTTGGAGAATGTTGGTCATCGGCTCACGCTCCATTGGGAGTAACAAGCGTAACTAAGTAAGTAAGTCAATAAGCAATTTATTCTTCTTAGCATTCTTTTAGCAAGATTATTTTTGACAGGATTGAATGACTGACTCCTATGCTAAACCCTTCTCCTTTTACTTGATCTTGAGACTGACAATAATTCTAGAACAGTGTTACAGACAAAGTTAATTCCTAGTAGTAGTTATTGTACATTAATCCTTCATTCAAATAGTAACATTCATTTAATCAACTATCACCATAGTAACTAAACTCCTATATTCTATGACATTTTAATCGATTAACAAATGCAATTGAAAGCAATAATAATAAATACAATAACATAATTTCGTATAAATTTACAAATATGGTAAATGTTATTGTATATTGTACAATCTGTGATTGTGATTTTAATATAATTGGAGTGAATAAAATCCCCTATAATAATAATAATAATAATAATAATAATAATAATAATAATAATAATAATAATAATAATAATAATCAAAAGTGGAATAATAATGATCTGGTAAAATAATAATAATGATCTGAAATATCAGTAAAGGGGGTTTATTTTATATGGATATTCTTGGTCATTTCAATAGTTGAGATCAATTGAAACCTAGATCATCATTAAATAAAAATGTGGAAGAACTGGATGACCGTTTTCGTCCTATTGTGGAACTTCTCAGTGTTGGGGTGACCCAACAAATTTCTTGCAAAGGGTCAAGCAAAAGTCAGGAAACACTAAGAAGCATTTCATCCAATCAACGTTCACTTGGAGTTTTAGCCAGAAATATCAAGGGGTGGGGAAACGTCACGTGTCGAAGTTCTGATTGGCTGATTGCTAAAAGGCTACTATATTTAGTAGCATTCCACAATCTTCAAGCAGCCCAAGAACATTTGAAATATTATAAAAAACCTGTATTTTCTGTATTGAAATGAATCCTTAAAGTACTTCTCGTGTACTTTGTGTCTTCTCTCTTGTGTTCACGTCGCTATATGGTTCTAGCTTGGGGGGGGGTTACAGAATACTTTAGGAAACGAAAATAGCGTTCAATTCGCAAGACTTATCACTCAGTGGCAGTGCGCGTTCACGATCCCACTTTGGAATAAACGCTGCAAATTCATCAGATTGTTTCATTGAAATCATGAACTGATTCATGTTAAACTGCCAATCAAAATCTGAAAGAACTGAACATTTATTTCATTTCAAATATGGAAATCCTCAGATGTGAAGATAAATCGTGTGAGGCAGTTAATCATCGAAAACAATGGAAGATAGTTACGTAATGTTGTGGACTGATTAAAGTTATACATTAATATCGTTGAATGTTGGTCAGGTGTCTGAAAGTTAAGCGTTCCTAAGAGAAACTGAATGGTTCTGGGTTCAATTGTCACATTCGGTATCGTGGATGCGTACTACTGACGAGTTCTAAGCAAAAACAAAACAACCGTCTGACTTCAATGAAGTTGATGTTAAATTTGATACAGGTAAATGCCAAGAATAACTATTTGCACAAGATTTGTTTGACGATGTCATGGAGATTCACTAAATAATGACTGTACTGTTATAACTTGTGGCCTTGTGCCCTATAAATATACATAAAGTAATGATACCGCCAACTAGAGAACAGTAATTTATCGACCGGACAAACGACACTTAAAACCCGTACGAGTAGTCTAGATTCTTTATCCATCCTGTTCCACGCCTAGACCTGCCTGTTAAATCCAGAACACCAATCTCTACCTCTGTGATATGAATCATTTATTTCAAACATACCGTTGAAATCTATGTCTGGACTAACAGTATACATATATTTTTATTGTATAGTTGTTAAGTAATTAAACTATGAATATTCATATTCCGCTTATCATTGGCTTTATTTTGACTCATAGAATATTATTATACAATCTACCGTTCTTCAGTTATACACAGTCTATCAATTACAGTCTCCCACACTCACAGTCACTTTTCGATAGATCTTGTACAAATGTAGGATACGACATTTGTATTGTGGTACGATATGGTCTATTTGACTGGTATATAAACGCAGTATGTTTGAAATAAACGATTCATGTTGCAGAGTGTGAGATTGGTGTTCTGGATTGTAATAGGCAGGACTATGCAGGAAGCAGGACCGATAACGATATTAGACTACTCGTAGGGGTTTTATACGTCATTGGTCTGGTCGTTAAATCACTATTCTCTAGTTGGTGGTATCATTACATTATATATATTTATATAATAGAGCACAAGGCTACAAGTCATAACATCTACTCAAAAAACACTTACGATTACCACTACACAACACCAACAAATGCAGGTCATAGATCCGAATTCCCTCTAAAAGTTCAAAATCATTGTAAAACAATATGAATAATCGAGAATCAATATTCAATGGTTATTTTATTATTGGAAAATATGTACTTTGAACATTTCGTTGAATTCCTTCATTCATTTATTTATTTGAACACATAAATATTGGCACAAAGGAGCATGAAATACAAATGCACCACACAAGTAACTTGATTTTTGTGGGAGTTGTGATACTACCCGGGTGCTGAAACCGTGGCAGATTGTTTTCTTAAGGGGATACACCCGGAGTTTTTGACCTAAAGGTCTAATCCACAAGGTAGTGTAGCAACATCAGGAGATGCAGTCCCATGGTAGCCGGTGACCAATGATTGGTTCATATGCCATTTTTTCCTTCAGGATACTGGGACCTATGTGTACCTTTGGTTTTGAATCAGGGTTTTCCAACCTCTCTAGGTAGATCTTCCATATATATAAACCCGGTTAAAGCGCTGGACATTCGATTTTCGCTCTCTCAATTATATAAACAACACTCTCTCTGAGAGAAGACAGCGAGTAGGACTTTCTTGATAGTGTCTGTATACTCGTGACCATGTGAGAGAATTTGGAGAGGGAGAGATGATTCTCCTCACCTTCGGCCGTACCAGGGAATTCGGGGGTCCATTTAATTGATGCCGATTGCTTTGAAGCGATTAGAAATTATTACACTTGTCTATGCAAACAATTATATATGAACAGTATTGTGCTTTAATAGTTATCCATTAGTTTCACAGAATAAAATTAATCAGGATCATTTTAAAAGTCATGTAAAATACGAAATTTTGTTCAAGTGATCAATTTCAATACGATGATATTATTACAAAATCAATAAAATCACTTGGTATTATTGATTTGAATGTTCTCATTGATGTTTAGGACTACAGTTGATCAGTGTCATGTTGGCATATATGCATCCTGTGCGTATTGCCTCGATATTGCCTTAATTCACAGGCGTTATAAGCAAAGATCGATGGTGGCTAGCAGTTGAATTCAGTTTGATACGTGTTTCGTTCTATTTGGAACTCATCAACTGGATGTACCTGCTCAGTAGTTAAGTGGATAACGCGATGGTGTTTGAAACAAACGGTATTGGATTTCAGTCTCAGAATGAACATCAACTATGAGATACAAGTACAAACAGCTGAAGAGTCCCAAATAGGACGAAATATGCATCCTGGATTCCATTGTTACCCACTATCCATCTTTACTTATAATTCGATAAACTGTTTATTTACAAGCAGTAGTATATCTATTCATTTGAAAACCTTATTCTTGTCTATTATTTAATGTAAGTCAACAAGTCGCTCATTTTCTCAATATATGTTCTCATCAATGGTAAGATTATATTTTATGAACGAACCAATCAGATTTGAGATAATAGATTTTGGATTTTAGCGCGAAATTCATTCATCTACTCATTTGACTAAATACCATTTTGGCATTTTAGATAATGTCAGTTTGTAATGAAAACTTTAGATTGAATTCCTATCCCTAATCATTAAATATAAATCATAATCTTTATCGTTCACACGGGTTTAAAACCCTTTCATTTGATCCTGGTCACTAAATAGATATTCCTAAGTTTACCAAGGCATAACTCATTATGTTAGAAACATTACTTACTTACGCCTGTTACTGCTCGTGAAGGAGCATGGGCTACTCACCAGCATTCTCCATCCAACCCTGTCCTAAGCAATCCTTCCCATTGTTGCTCTGGTTGTTAGGGGGGGGGGCATCGGACTCGTGGCTGCCGAAAGAACTTGGCTTTCACCATGAGGCGTCATAGTTCTTCTAAATGAAGACCTTCTAACTTCCAGGACAGAGTTTAAATGGTTTGAATTAATTTTTCTGGTCAGCTTTTTTTAGCAAGTTATTTTTCTACAAGATGGGCTAACTAACCCCATGCCCTAACCTCCTCCTTTACCCGGGCTTGTGACCGGCAGTAACTCTAAGAGAGCTACAGGCGGAGTTATGTTAGAAACATAAAATAAAGATATACGTATATATATTCACTATAATAAGAAACAAACTTACATAGAATGTTGTTAAAAAAAGAAAAATGGTTCCTATTATTGCAAAACGTATTAAAATCATAATTAATGTTTGTTGTTTTAATTGAATCATTGTATTTATATTAATACTTAATAGAATCGCTATTATGCCCAATATAAATGATACAATTTGAGCAATTAATGCATAGAGAAATTCAATAAAACCTCCAAATAATATAACACCAATTGTGAATAGATATGCCTAAAGTGATGTAGACAGAAAAAGAAGGTTAATGAAATAAATACAATGTTATGTAATCAATTATAGAACTTTCAATGATTAAGATCATGAGTCAGTTGAAGCTATACCACCATGAAACACCTGGACGGTTATTTCGTCCTACTGTGGGACTACTCAACAATATGCACCCACGATCCTGCCTCGCGAGATTCGAACTTAGGGCTTGCAATCTAGCGCGCGAACGCTTAACCTACTAGACTATTCAGCTGACTTCCAATGGTTTCAATGTCTAACTTCAACGAATCCACGAAAATGAGTGATCACAAGGATTAGATCTACTGGTCATAGCGAGAGGAATCGTGGATGCGTACTGTTGAGGAGTCCTACAAAAAGACGAAGCAACCGTTCATTGCTTCCAGGTTATCTATGATGATCTAACTGCAATTGAATCATGATCTCAACTAATAAATCTACATATTTGTTTAAGAATATTCCTCATCAAAGTCTCTAGAAGATTAGATAACATTAGGAAATGTTTTATTCCATCACCATTGAATAGAAACATCTGAGAAACATCTAAAAAAAGACTGAAGATTAGATGTTACCTTTTTAATTAGACAATTGTCTACTTTATTGTTATAGTTTTTTCCCCATATAGTTCTAGAAGACCAAGGTCACAAGAAAATATATGTACCTCCCCCCCATTTTTCTGTACAGAATCAACTTTAAGGTAAAACGCTCACACACATTTCATGTCATTTCCCTTAAGTTTGAGTTGACATCTATAAGAAGTTTTGAGTTATAGGAAACTGTTAGAATGTTAGTTACAACCATCTTAGTAAAAAAATGATTAACATATGACTTAGATACTAATTAATCAAATAATAAAACTATTTATGTTTTTAATGATCGTATTAAATAACCAACTACATTGTACAAATACAAAATATTGTAAAGATAAACTTACTGTAAAACCAACCAAAATAGTACTGATTAAAGATTGATTATGTAACTTGTTGACAAACATGATTACAATTCCGAATATGACGGAAATACTACTGAAATATAAAAATGAAAAAGTATATTAAATGAGGTTGGTTGTATATTTGTCAATTTATATGCTAAATAATGATGATTAGTTGTCATTGAGAACTATAAATAGTGATATTCATGAGATGTGATGAGTCTTTAATCTAAAGATAACCTTTCAATACGTTTTAACTCTATTCATACTGATTGATTTGAGGTTCCTTTGTCAATATATATGTGATATATTGAATAACACATTTTTCTCATTATCATACGGGGGAATAATCTAAGCCATCATCCAGAAGATACAAGTGTTTAATAATAGTTGTCTACGTAAAATACTCCACATCCGTTGACCAGACACGATAAACAAAAACCGACTATGGGAGAGAAGAAATCACATCCCAGTAGAGAAAGAAATCAGGAAGAAGTGGTGGAAGTGGATAGGATACACAGTGAGGAGACCACCCAACTACATCGCAACGAAAAATCTCAATTGGAATCATCAATTTCAAAGTCGAAGAGGAACACCAAACAACACATTACACTGAGAAATAGAGACAGATGTAGATCACTATCTATATTTCATTGTATTGAAATCACGACCCATTCTATGTTAAACAACCATTTAAATAAAACTCGGAAGTATTGGACATCCATTATGTTTTAATATGAAACTCGTCAGTGTTGGCCACCCACCACCTCTCATCTCTGAATTGAGCTGAGGTCTCTCATTCTCTCACCAGAACGCTCATCGTCCAGATCACTGAACTGGATACGTTAAATATTCCACGTAAAAAATCACTGTTATTTAACTAAAGATTTCCATACAGTTTTGTCAAATTGAACAGTTTATGTAAACTATTATAAACAAGCTTTTAATGTAACATAAATGAACAATAAAACTTCATAATTAACAAAAGAAAAAGAAACTTACATTAATATGAATGATGTTAGAAAAATTGGATCTTTCCAACATGAAAGATATTCCCTATGGAATTGAACATGAAGTTACTGAATGCTAGATCTTACTCTTTATTTAACGAGCAAGTATTCTGGAACATGATTCACCATAGAACAGTTAAAAGATACAGATCCTGAGATTGAACATATGACTAATGATTATTAAGTCTAAGAAATAATATTCAAATGAATATGGAAATGTTATGAAATGGAAATTGTTATAACTTGTGGCATTGTACCCTATTATAGTATAAGGTAATGATACTGTTAATTAAAGAACAGTAATTTATCGATCGAACCAATGACTCAAAAACCCGTACGAGCAGTTTAGAGTCCTTATAGGGTTCTGCTTCCTGAATAGTCCTGCCTATTACAATCCAGAACATTAATCTCACACTCTGCAACATGAATCATTTATTTCAAACATACTGAGTTTATATACCAACCAAATAGACCATATCGTACCACAATACAAATCTTGTATCCTACATTTGTACAAGATCTATCGAAAAGTGACTGTGAGTGTGGGAGACTGTAATTGATAGACTGTGTATAACTGAAGAACGGTAGATTGTATAATAATATTCTATGGGTCAAAATAAAGCCAATGGATAAGAGGAATATGAATATTCATAGTTTAATTACTTAACAATTATCCAATAAAAATATATGTATAGTGTTAGTCGATGAATTTATCCCAACAGTTAACATTCACTATTGTCGTAGGGACGTAACGCTTACCACACGATTCTTTAACCTGTTCGTTTAATGACTGAGAAGATTTAAATTCAATGTGTAACACTCAGAGAAGGTCAAAAATGATGAGCTCCTGGACGGAATCGGTATGGCGTTGCTCGGCCTTGTGGGTGCGGTCATTCCGTGTAACCTATTCTCACTTACATTGAATATATTATTCTATCCACAGCCCAAATTTGTTCTTCAGATTTGTTAAACATCATATTGCTGGTTGTCACAATACGAACATTCAGTAAAGACAATGATGTGACTTCCTTGAAAGATCTTATAAATGACATGAATGTCAAGGAAAATTGCAAGTTTTTTTAATATTTTATTCAGTTCACATGTTCAAATAATTAATCGGTTAAGACTCTTATTACTGATCGAATTCGCAGGTCCTCAGTGCGAGTCCTGCGTGCGAGATTGCAAATGCGCACTTTTTATGAGTCCCCTACCAGGACGAAACGGTCGTCCAGTGCTTCTATGTTTTCATTATTGTTCTAACATTGATCCATTCATGATATCAATCTAAACTCAATAATCTCTGCAACCCTATGATTGATGAATAAGGAAATAACAAAACGATATTTAATGCAGTTGAATATGACAGAATGATACGCTTCTTATGTGAGTGTGTGTGCGTGTTACTTCTTCTGATTTGATTGGAAGGATGAATTGCTGATATTTGTTCTACTGATAACCGTTACAGATAAATGCATTTAAATATTTTTATAATAATCATAACTACGTTTTTGATTAAGATCATGAATTAATCAATGTTAGATCACCAATGAAAACCTGGAAGTAGTGAACTGCCATCTCGTTTTAGTATAGGGCACCTCAATAATTCGCATCCACGATCCTACACGCGAGACTCGAACCCGGGGCCTTCGATCTCGAGCGCGAACACTCAAACTGTAGACCACTAAGCTAATATTCAATGTTGGTCTAACAATGATCAATTCATGATTTCAACCAAAAACTTAACAATGTCCGCAACCTCATACTGATGTTTACCATGTATTCACTAGTGACTAGCCTCATGTAGCTCGATTCCTGTCAGGTAGAAACAGTGAAAGATGGTCGCAAAATATCGTGAAGTGGTTAGAATTAGACAATAACACCACTGGAAGCCGATCCAACGGTCTTCATGTCAAGCATTCGCACACAAGACCGAAGGTCCTGGGTTCGAATCAACCGATTGTGATCATGGATATGCACTGCCTAAAAGAGTTCCATGCCAGAAAGAAACGGCTATCCAGTACTCTCAGGTTCATGATCTGTATCAGAAACATAACAATCTCCACAACTTCATACTTCATGTTTTATTTATACAGTATATATAAGTAATTTGTTAAGTAGTATATATATGACTAATCAAAAAACATGATTATTATTATACAATCTATAACTTACACTAACCAATATGATACAATTGACTAGTTATAATTAATACATCCATTCTATAAGATGTTCATAACTATTCTATTTAAAAAAATAAAATGTTAAATAAACTTTGACCACTTAAACAGACAAGTAAACAAAACAATCACTGATATCATTATTACTATTATTATTGTTATTATTGTGATGATATGACTTTTCAGGTTACCATTATACTTTAAAGAGAGAGAGATGAGTTAACTTGTAGTTGAAGTGAAGTATTCTAAACAGATAAAAGTATTACATACATATTGGTGTTAAGGTGACATAGTATCCAAGCTCATTCATTGATAAGAAATCGATAAGGTATTTAATGGTACTCAACATCATGACGTAATCAAATTGAATAGTCTTAATTATATTTTTGTTGTTGTTGTTGTTTATCTTCATATATTAACAATGAATAGTGTACTATTACATAAACAGTAGTAGTTTACTAATTCTATTGTCTGATTACATTGATTGAAAGTTATTCATTGAAGTATTTTCTATTGTTTTGAATATAATTAGGCTTAAAGTGAATAATCTATAAGATAATTAATGGTGTTAATATCAGATGGGTTTTGTGGATATTATAGTAATTTCAATGGTTAAGATCATGAGTCAGTTGAAGCTAGACCGCTATGGAAAACCTGGAAGCATTGTACGGCCGTTTCATGGGATTCCTCAGCAGTGCACACCCACGACCTCACCCCCTGAGAGACAATGTAATCAAAGGTTATTATCATAATAGAGTATGTTAGTTAGTTTGCTTGAAAAGCTTAGTACTTTTATGAACATTTATGTACTCTGATTTTACAAGTGTCTATATCATCGAATATTTTTTAATTTATATCAAGTAGAAGAAAAGAGGAAGGTCAAACAACATACTACGTCGAGAAATGGAAGCAGGTATGGAAAGGATGAATATAAACTAGAAACAATTAGAAAGGATGACTCAGGACAATATTGGATGGAGAGTGCTGGTAATTGGAGGCCTATGCTTCTCAACGAGGGGTAACAGGTGTAAGTAAGTGATCTACTGTGGTGAACGAGAACACAAATGAGGATTAAATTACAAAAGGAAGGTCAAGGACAGAGTGGGTTGGAGAATATTGGTCGACAACCTATACTCCATTGTAGGTAACAGGTGTAAGTAATTAAAGCAAGTAATGTAAATTGTAACCAAATTCATTTCATATAGATCACTAACTATATTTCATTATATTGAAATCACGACCCATTCTATGTTAAACAACCATTTAAATAAAACTCGGAAGTATTGGACATCCATTATGTTTTAGTATGAAACTCGTCAGTGTTTTGCACCCACTACCTCTTATCTGTGAATCGAACCTAGGACTCTCATTCTCCTACAAGAACGCCCAACCTCCACATTACTGAGCTGGGATGCGGTGGTGTACAAGTCTAACTTTAATAAATTGTGTTACTTCCTCAAACTTATCATCACTATTGTTATCCGTATGGTATCCAAGTGAAAATCCTCGATGTTTTCTACAGTTCCTTGTTTTTGGCATCTAAACAAATTGTCTTAAACAAGTTATGATTGGTAATTCTAATCGCATGTTTTTTATTATTGTCTCAATGGGTAGAAAAATTGTATTATTGACGTTTCGTGACTTAATGTAATCCACTTCTTTGGAGTATATAAATAACCGACATTAAAATTAACAAGAGTTTGAAATAGTACAATAGTACTCTGAAGAAGTGACTTAAATCAAGTTACGAAACGTCAGTAATACACTTTTTCTACTCATTGGGATAAAACATAAACGGTGAGACCATAATTTATGGATGACCTTTAAACGAATTGTAAATGACCTTTAGAACTATTAGGCAACCAGGAAACAGTTACTATAGAGTGAATGTGTATTATAAAAAGATTCAAGAATTAAATTGGATACACTACTTTTACATGGTTCAAAAACTTTTCCAGGTTAGAAAAAGGTTCAGAGGTTATAAAATCGTAATGCATGCGGTAGAGGAAATCATCTATATGGCTTCTTAGTAGTCCCAATTGTTGTAGCGGTCGATGATTACGTATTTAAAATGATCTTTGAACCGATCGTACGTGAACATCAGGTACTGAAATTGCCTTCTTGACCTTGAAATCCATCAAACGCTTCTGATTAGCTTGTTCATAAATTGTAGACTCGCCGATACCTACGAACTTTTAAACATTGTTACATATCTATAACGTTATTGCGTAACCATCCACCTTTGTGTTCAGTGAGTAGCTGCCTTACAACAGACACGGTATAACTTCACTGGTCACAGCTTCTCACTAGAACTCCAGGAAATACTTATTGAAGCTTGTCACTAGTGTGTACGTAATGACTATTATCAGAAAGGGGCTTTTGTGAAGATTCTAGTGATTTAATGGTTGACGTCATGAGATATACACATAAGACAAATATAAAATATTCCAGACTATAGGGTTCAAATAAAATAAAAACTCTGACGAAAAGCAATGAATACTTAAAGTATATATTCTAAGCTATCTATTTCATCTCCACGAATGATGAATGCTTCTTTGATATGATGGTGAAGACTTGTAGCTCAGGTGGATGATTTTGGTGGAGTTTTGTTCTCTGAGCTGGATGGTTTGGTCGTGGAGCTTTCATCGTTCTTCTATCTGAAGTTTGTGCTGATGATGTCGTTCAGAAGAACAATGAAAGTCCCACGACCAAATCATCCAACTCAGAGAACAAAACTCCATCAAAGCTTCATTGATGTAACACTTAAATTCTCAAATAATTTTTCTTAGAATGAAATGAAGATCATGTCAACTCGTTGAATAGATTTGATTCTATTTTCTGTAATCTATTCGTCAACTAATTATGTTTTGCTTTAATTGAGTTCATCTCCTATTTCAATAGGACTTGATTAGCTTCATTTTTACATAATTTTTTATCATTGT